CTGCCACTTACCCTGGAGGGTAAAGCTGGATCAGGCATGAATCCAGCTCTCCAGGAGCTCACTGCCAAGCTCAGCAGGCGAGACAGGACATGAGGGAGAAAGTCACTGGTGCACAAGAACACTCAGACCACAGGACCAGCAACTGGGGTCTTGTCCTGAGAGCTGGGAGCCCCACCTCGCAGCTGTTCCTGATGTCCCCACATCAGGATGCACCCTAAGGACTGTGGGAAGGGCTTTGTGCCTTTTGGATGAAAGGTGTATTATATAAGTTCCATAAAAACTTTTTGGATAAATTTAGAAAAAAATAATAGACAATGATGATAATAACATCCAGCATTTTTGAGTGCTCATTATATGCTTGGCACTAAACTAATGGTGGGAATACAGCTCGAATCTGTAACTCTGTTTATATCTGCTGCTCCCCAAATTATCAAAATATTCATTTCTAAATGGAGCCTGTTCATGACTGTTAACCTGAGTGATTTTTTCACGGGAATTCATCATACCATCCTCTCTACTTTTGTGTTTTGAAATTTTCCATAATAAGAGGCTATGCAAAAAAGGAAGGGGGCTAAATAAACTTCAGTAACCCAAATAATATCTCAGATAAAAGATGGAGAAGAAAGAAGGAAGTCACTGTTCTCCTGTGTTCACTGTGTGTCAGATCCTTCACATTCACTATGTGTGAATTAATGGCCAGCCCGTTTTACTAGTGAGGCAAATGAGGCTCCGACCGGTTAAAAGCTTTTTTTAAGGAGTTGACACCGGCCCAAAGCTTAGCCCTTTCCAGTAAGCCACACCGCCCTTCTGGTCCACACGGTTTCTGCAGGCAGCATCGCCATGAATTATCCTGGCAGCCCGCAGTGCCAGCCGGTGAAACCACAGAGCTGCTGTTTGGAAGTCCCTCAGACCTACCTACAGTTCAAAACCCAATAAAGTGTTCCGAAAACATGATGCTCCAGGAAAAAATTTAAAGCAATATATGAAAACTGTCAAAGCAATGGCTACTGGTAATTTTTATCTGATAGGACTGTCCTAAAATGTCCATTTTCTGGGGGTGTGTGCGTGTGCACACGCATGTCTAATATTTGGGACTTTGGGGTAACCAACTTTTATTTCCAGACATTTCACAACCTCTCTGTCAGGCCAGGAATAAGCCCCATTTACAGAGGCGGACAGAGGGCAGTCGGCGTCGCCGCCCAGCGAGGAGGGGGCAGCGGGCCGGGCCTCAGGCGTCTGCTCTCCCACCACTTCGGTAAGTGCCATGTGAGAATTGGCTTTCTTCTGCTGTAGAAAAGCTTCTATGAAAGGCAAGACAGGGTCGAGCAAATTCTCCACAGGGCCTGGGGAGGGGAAGAGTCGGGTGTAACAAAACGGCAGCGTTTCCCGATCGCTAGGCCAAACTCCCTCCGCCCTGAGCTGTCTGCGCCGACCAAACTGAACAGAAGCGAATTGTCCCATCTGTTGTCAAAAGCATCCTCCGCGACTTCAAAGGATCCCGCGGCTCCGAGGGCGCGCCCCCGCGGTGGGCTGGGGCCCCCCCCCGCGTCGCGCAGGGCTGGCAGGACGGGCCGCCGCGCCGCCCCGGGCCCACCTGCTGTGTGAAGCGGCCGCGCGGCTCCCTGTTCACGGCGGCGGCCGCAGGGCCGGCCCGGGAGGCGAGGCGGCGGCCCGGCCGGCAGGGGGCGCTTCAGCCGCTCACCAGGGGCTAATGGCCTTCTGGGCTTTTCCTCAGGGATCCCTAGGCCCCCCAGGGATCTTAATTAAAGCGGCTTTGTAAGGCCTGGAGGCAAACACTGGCCCAGCACTCGGCGTGGGAGCTTGTTTTGAGCTCTGGTTGGGTTTCTGCGTGGCCTCAGAGAGGCTGGGTTCCTAGGAGCAAAGGAAGTGGACGAACTGGACCAACCGTGGGAACCCTAAAGCCTCTGCTCTCATGTTAGCAACCTAGAGCTCTCCCGCTAGACATCAGCTTGGTCCTTTCTCTTTGCTGGTGTAGAAACGATGGCGAAACCACTCTGGAAACTGCCCCTAGGACCACGGGGTGGGGGCGATGCTCTCTCTTTCTCCTTTCTGAGATCATTCTGAGGAAAAGGTGATAAACAGATCTGTAAGGTAGTTATCTTAAAGTTTAACTACATATACATGTACTACCTTTCAGTGAATGATATTTAGATGAAAATATTGAATTATTTTACTCTAGAGCAAGTATCTCCCTAAAGACATTTCAAATGTAGCTTTTAGGAGAGTAAATATTTTTTAAAAAGATGATAAAAAGTAAAATGTAAGATCTCCTTCCCTGTAAAAAAACAGTTTTTATAAAGTTCAAAGAGGCCGGCCCGGTGCCCGAGTGGTTAGGTTCGCGCGCTACGCTTCGGTGGCCCAGGGTTTCGCAGGTTTGGATCCTGGGCGGGGACTTGGCACCCCTAATCAAGCCACGCTGAGGCGGCATCCCACATGCCATAACTAGAAGGACCCACAACTAAAAATACACCACTATATGGGGTGGCGGGGGAGTGCATTGGGGGAAAAAGAAAATCTTTAAAGTTCAGTAATTTTTTTTCTGATTTTCTTTGAGTATGACTTTTGGATATAATCATACATATATCTACTTCTAGATTATTATTTTGCAAATTGTTGCAGTTTTTTTCACAATTCGGAATGATATATATATTTGGGACTATATATGGAAATATGTATATATTTGGAAATACATATATCTATACCTCACACATATGTATGGTGTGTAATTATTTACATGGCGCCAGTTTACCTCTTGGACCATAAACTCCATGAAGGGGGGAACTATGTCTGACTGTATCCCCAGGGCCTGGCATTTATTAGATACTCAATAAACATCTCTTGAATAAATGAGTGAATACTCAAAGAGGTGCCATGTAATGATGATGGTACCTATTTGTTTTTGTCCTATCAGAATGCCTGCTTTGAATTTTTTTCTCTTATTAAATAGACTCAGCTTATAAATTTAGGTTTTGTTATTTTAAGAAATCACTAAAGCTTATCTACAAAGAGGTATGATTGAAAATGTTCTATGGATTATCAAATCAGATGTGCAATAGTTTTCTAGTTCATGAGAGCGAGAATTTCAAATAATTGGAGACCAGTCCAAACAAGGCAGAGTTAAGGGCAAAATCCACTGAATGTTTAAAGCTACTTGTCTCTGAAACACTTTTAAATTTTGCCTGGGGATGAAGTTGTCTTAATGGTTCCGTGGTGTTAGTACCAGGGCAGCTTCCAGGGTACATTTGCTCACTTGGCACGTCACACCTTCCATCTGTAAAGATGACCAGCAGAAATGGCAGAGCTAAGGGGCTGAAGTCTGAGGCTGTGGACACGTCAGTGGTTAAGACATGCGGTATACAAGTCACTCCCAGGCAGATTCGAGTCTTTGGAGCACAGGGTGCTCTGTGTGAGGAAGCTTGAGCTTCCTGAAGAACTCACTTCCAAACTTCGTGGAGTCACCTTGTGTTTCTTCAACAGAAGCCTGGTGACAGGGAACCTCTTTAAGAACGCTAAAACAGAGCTGAAAGAGAACCTTTTCTTCCAGGAATAAGGATGCGTTTGGCTGTGCACAGTCGGTGAGGGTGGAAGGAGCTGTTTCACAGCCTTGCAAACAAGACCAGCATTGTCCAAAGTTCGCTGTTTCTGCCGCCATTCCCTTGTTCCCCTCTGCCCTCAGAAGATTTTTAAAGTGTTCAGGGCCATGATGTTGCCCAGTTTTGTTACCAACTTTCCTTTTTCTTGATCCTTTGTTTCAATGTCTGCCTTCTTTCCCCCATGTGCTCACTGAGGCCTGATTGTGGGGTCAAGCTGTAATTAGTTTATATATGAAGTTTAATTCACTGTGGCTCTTTTGACGTTAGACTCAAATGGGCTTTGATGTCTGGCTGGAGCTTTGATCCCAGACCCTCGAATGGTGGTCATCATCCCAACTCAAAGGACTGCCCTTTATTTTTTCCCTTCTATTCGGAGACAGCTTTTCCCAATTACATCATTTGTATGTGTTTGGCCATAAAAGCTGTAAGGCATCGTTTTGTTGCTTTGCTCTATAGCAAAACATGCAATTGATGCTCTTCGCTTGGCTGCAATAGAATGTTCACTGCTGGATAAGGCATTTGTAGAATGATGCTCAGACTTTGGTGGGGGTGCTCTTGGGAGCTGTTCTGCTCAAGGGCGAAGCCTCAGACTGCATGATCTGAGGGGCCCTTCCTGGCTCTGTCCAGGAATGTCTTTAAGCATAAGCTACACAACTGTGACATATTCAGTCAAGACTCTCATGCTGGCAACTGTATCTTACTCTCCAGATCCTCAGGCAGCAGATCCACCCCATCGTTAGTGCCATGCTTTCTGAGTGTCAATTAGCAGCTTTTCTGAGAAGACAGAGGCCTCTAGGGGAAAGCAAAAGAACTAACTACGGCTGAACAATACTGGAAAGGAGATCACAAAGTAGCATGGGTGCAGGATGAAGCACCAGGACCTGCTTTGAAAAGAGAGAGAGAGAAAAATCAAAACAGTGGGGGAAGTGAGATCCTGTGGCAACAGAAGGGAGCAGAGGGGGATTACCTTCGACTGCCTCCGGAACACCTGCAACCAAAACAAAGAATCAGAGGAAGGGAAAGCCAGAGGACTAGGCTGGAGAGGAGAAAATTTGGCTGTTGGGTTAAGAAGAGAATAGGGGCAACCCAACCAGTCACACCTAATCTGACAACATTGGGAGTTTTCCTGGAAAAACAATGACTGCATTGAGCTGCTTGCTTCTAACTTCATTTGACAGCCAGAGTTTGTTTTAATTGGCATGTGAATGAATAGCATTATTTATTAATGTGTAATGGATACTTTGGAAAGCATAACCTTTTTTCCTATCTGTGACCATTTTATTGGCGGAACCATTTGAATATAATAGTTTTAATATTTAAACTTGCTGGGAACACTTTTTCATGGAGATGTACAAGCTGTTATGACAAATGGTTTGGTTTGGAATAATGAGCCAGCTTGGAGTGGCATTTGGCAGGGAGGGGGGTGGGAAGGTGAGGGGGTTTGGAGTGAGAGCCACTTGTCTGTCTGCTTTAACAAGATTTATGAGTAGTGTGTAAAAACATGTTTTAGCTTTTTTTCCCCCTCAACTATATAAATATAGTTGTCGATGTGTGACATAACCCAGGCCACCATAATAGACTCCACCCAGCCAGCAGGAATCTAATTCAGAGCTAGAAAGCAAGACGCTTGCCTAGAAACGAACAGAATGAGATGATGAGGACATGGGTGAGTGGCCTTTGGCATGCAGGAGCTGGCATTCTTCTTTAGTGCCTTACTAAAATTAGGGCTGAAAATTAGTTTTTGTATTATTAAGTACAGTGTTTGACATAAAGTAGGCATAAAAAATAGGTAACCTGAATAGAATTGATTTTGTATGCTGATGAACACCTGAACATAATTCCATTTTTAGATCTAATACACAGCCTTGTTAATTATGAATCATGGTTGGGGTTATAGTCCTTTTGTGTCTGTGAGGGGCAGCAATGGGAGGTCAATGGAGGGTGGCCAGGGAACTCTTGTTTTTGTTTTTTGTTTTTTTTTTGGTAAATATCGACCTGATTCTATTTGTTGCAGAGATTAAATGGGTACCCTTAAGTTAGTTAGAAAGTATGTTAATAAAAAAACAATTTACAACCACCTACATTTTTTTGTCTCTCTCTAGCGACTGTCAGTTGAATGCTTGCAAGCCAGTGTCCTAAGTACAGTAATACTAGGAGGTATTAAAACAGCCCCTGCCTTCAAGGAACTTTTATAACGTAATTGGAGAGAAGAGACACATGTAAGCACCCACATACACGATGCGTGTGTACACACCCTGCTGAAGAACCACACCCATAGCATTTGATAGGAATCAGGTATTCTTAGCAGGGATAAGCAGCTGGCCAAAGGTGTAAGAGTCTGAACGAATGATGCAGGATGCATTCCTTCACACAACACTGCCTGAAGGTCGGCAAGTTGTGACTTGCTTCTTGCTGGATTCAATTTCTGAGGCTTTTGGATGTACTGCTTTTTAAAACAGATATGGCACTGTCCTTTTCCATAGACAAGCCAGTTAGTGGCATTTCCAGACCCCCATACCACTGACATTTCCTGTGACCAGTGCCCCAAGCAGAGATGACCATACCACAAATGCTACTTCAGGGGAAAGTTTCTAAGTCCCTCTGGAGGAAGTAAAAGCTAGAACTCATATAACCCTTATTATCTATGTGCCTGCCACCTTGTAAAAGCATCCCCTCCCTCCGCCCCACAAATATATATTATATGCTGCATATTATTATAATTCTTACAACAGGCTAGTTCAGTTGGTAGCTCCATTTTACCGTTGGGGAAACGGAGGCACAGAGAGCGAAGTGACTTGCCCGCACAGCTAATCGTGGCTGGATTCAAATTCAGGCAGTCTGGTTTCAGAGTCAGAGCTCTTGTGCTTGCACAAGATAGCAAATAACAGTAAAAAACTGAAACAAAAAGCAAAGCGCGCAGGCGCGCGTGCAAACGTTAAACCCCGAGCTTGTAAAAGAATTGATGCAACCCCTTGCTATACAGCGACATCCTCCTGCCTCCTTTTAAATGCCCTCTGTAAAAAAATTAAAACAACGGCAAGAAAACTAAGAGTTAAGCAGTTTTAGGACAACATTACACTGAGCTTTGTATTGCTTGTCTTTACAAAGTGGAGTCAAAAAACCCAAACGCACAGAAACGGTCTTTGCATGCACACGCGGTCCCCCGGCGGCCTGAGCGGGAGCGCGCAGCCGACGGGCGGGGAAAGGGTTAAGCTGTGGGCTGCAGCCCGCTCGAGTTTCAGAAAGTTCTCGGGGGAGCCCAACTGCGGCGGCCCCCCGCCGGCCCTGGCTGCGAGGCCGCCTGCAACAGGATGCGGGGCCCGCGGCGCGCGCCCCTAGCTTGGTGCGCCGGCAAAGAGCCAATAAGGAATGAGGCACCAACCGGGCGCAGGCAGGCGAGCGGGGGCGCCACGGCCCGCGGGCGGCGGGGCGGGGCGGGGCGGGGCGGGCGCGGGCGGGCGGGGCGGGCGGGGCGGGGCGGGGCGGGGCGGGGCGGGGCGGGGCGGGGCGGGGCGGGCGGGGCGGGGCGGGCGGGGCGGGCGGAGCCGGGCCGGCGCGAGCGGCGCCCTGACAGACGAGCGGCCGCGGGCGGCGGGCCGAGGGCCGAGGGCCGGCGCGGGGAGGCGGGCGCCAGCCGGGCCGCGGGCTGCCGCGCGTGACGTCGCGCCGGGCAGGCGTTATCAGCGGCGGGGCCGCGGCCGGGGCGGCGCGGGTACCGCGGACGGCTGCAGCCGGCGGCCGCGCGCCCGTGCCCAGCGCCTCTGGCCGGGCGCCCGCCGCAGGGCGGCATGAGCCCGCGGCCGCGGCCCTAGCGCCCCGCTCCTCCGCCCGGCGGCCCGGCGGCGGGGACGGGGCTCGCGGCGGGCGTGGGAGCCATGAAGCCGAGCCGGCCGGGCCGGCGAGGGAGCTGGAGCCGCAGGCACCGGCCCGGGGCGAGCAGCGCGCGGCGGAGCCCGAGGGGCGCTGGCGGGAGAAGGGCGAGGCGGACACGGAGCGGCAGCGCACCCGCGAGCGGCAGGAGGCCACGCTGGCCGGGCTGGCCGAGCTGGAGTACCTGCGGCAGCGCCAGGAGCTGCTGGTGCGGGGCGCCCTGCGCGGCGCCGGGGCTGCGCCCCGCGCGGGGGAGCCGCCGGGGGAGGCGGCGGGGCGCGGCCGCCTGGAGGAGAAGTTCTTGGAGGAGAACATCTTGCTGCTGCGGAAGCAGTTGGTAGGTCGTGCCCGGAGGCGGCGGCCCTGCCGAGGGCGGACGGTCGGGCAGGTGGCCTGGGCTGGGCTCGAGGGCGCCCGGGCTGGGGACGTTCTCGCGGCCCCCTCCCTGCGTGTGCCCGCGCGTGTCTGGCGTGTGCCCGCTTTGTGTCGGGGGAGGGACTGGCGACCCTGGCAGGCGGCAGGGCGAGGGTGGCCGCTCTGCCTGCTCTGCCGTCGGGGCTCTCGGGGTCGCCCGCTTGTAACCTTCCGTCTCTCGGGCTAGACGGATGCGTGTCCTCGCCCCTAAGGTTTGCAAACCCTCCTTTAAAATAGCATTTCACTTGGAGGTCTTCTTAGCTTAATGTCGTCCCGCTGAGAGGGGACAAAAGCCGAGGCGGGGGCTCGTGGCGTGGTTAACTATCCGGTGCTGAATTTGGGGATCCCGGGCGCGCGGAGGGAGCCCCCTCTCCGCCCTCCCGCGGGCCGCCCCCGCCGCGCGCTGCTCCCTCCCGGCAGAAGCCCTTTGTACGGGGCAGCCCCGGGGCGGGGGAGGGAGCTTTGGCCGGAGAAAGTGCCCCCTCCTCGCGTACTTTGTAGGTCCTGCTGGTGGAGGTGGGAGGACTGAGAACCTGCTCTCGGGGAGCCTTTATCTGCCTGGATTTGTGTCGGCGTCTCAGTCACTCCACGCCGTCTTCACTAATAGGGAAGAAAAAGAACTTTGGTGCTTAAGGTATTGATGAGCAGCTTTTGACCCCGCCTCAGGATAATGGCGGCAGCTTTGTTTCAGTGACCTCAAAAATGTAGTTTTGAAAACAGAAAAAAAAAAAAAAATCCTTACCTGACCATGTGATACTATCTGAAAGTGGACACATGCTGGATAATGTCCCTCCTCCAGTAAGGAGCACAGTGATGCTGTGTGGTTATTTGTCAAGTGTTTTCTTGTATTATCTCTTCAGAATTGCGCTTTTTTTGAGGCATCAAAGTGCTTTTACTTACTTGGTTCATTTTTCCTGAAGAAACTCATTCTAGTAAATAAGCATATGTTTTATGTTGCCAAGCTTTTTAAGTCAAGAGACAGACAGGAGGCGTAGATGTTCATATGCATCTGTTTTGTAAGGGTATATGTACATCGTGGTTTGCGCAGTAGCTCTGTTTTGGCATTTAATGGTGTTTCTTTGATAGCAGACCAGATTCGTATGTGACATTGCTTTGAACCAATTCGTGCTGTTATGTTTGGTCATTGGCATTTTATGCCTTGTCCTGTACAATAGCACGTTTTTGTCTTCATGAATCACAAGACTGTGAGTGGCACATTCCTGTCATCCCCTGGAGGGGAGCAAGGCAGCACGTCAGGAGAATTCCAGTCCAGTCAGTGTTTGTGGTACTATTTTCATTTGTAGGCTTGGCGTTGGTGATTTGAACCAGATGCCTTTTGGGTTCTTTCTGCTGTTCCAGCAGTAGGAAGCACTAGGTGGCGCTGTGAGTCAGCACCACAGATCTGTCACCTTTGGAAACCAGAGTTGAATTCAAACCTTGATGGACCTTCCCTTGTGGGTTTTGGATTCTGCCAGCTCCCATTATACTTGGCACTGGCTATTAGTATTCGTTTCTCACTTTCAAAGGCCCTAAGACTGATTAAACCCCACAAAGCAGCTAATAGAAAACAAAACGCTGCAGGATGTTTGGCCAGAAAATCTCACCTCAGTAAGATTATAGTGTATTGTAGGAAATCTGTTACACCGTGACTTCAAATTAAAGAGTCGACTGGGAAGTACTGTTTTGTAAAAAATTGGCTGTACACAGAGGATTTAAAAAACATTTCAGTGTGTTTTTTTCTTATCCTACCTATAAAAAGTAAGTTTGTATATATTAGTTGAAACTAAAAGCAAGCCTTGTTTTTATGAAGAAACTTTATATCACCACAAAATGTGAGAAAGTGGAATTAAACATAGGACATATTCTTGAAGTTTTTCTTTATTTTACTGGTCATCCAGTAGAATTTTGGTTTTGGAAGATAGTGAGCTCATCAGAGCAAGTCATTTAATGCAAGAGCAAGTCATTTAAATACTTAGAGCAGACTTTTGTTCTTTGTCACCAAAATGTATTGGTTTTTCCTTTCTCCGTTTCTTCCCGATCAGAATTGTTTGAGGAGAAGAGATGCTGGTTTGTTGAATCAGTTGCAAGAACTTGACAAGCAGATAAGTGACCTGAGACTGGATGTAGAAAAGACATCTGAAGAGCACCTGGAGACGGACAGCCGGCCCAGCTCAGGTGAGGGTGTGAGCACAGCACCGACTATTGCGCTCCCTCAGCCCGCTGTGCTCAGCATTCCCAGACCTGCCAACGGCAGTGGAGTTTGTTCCAGGGCAGAGGGAATGCAGAAAGCAGTCTACCATTCAGTTGCATGAGAGGGAAATAAAACCACACGACAGGATTTTTAATAATGAGATTGATCTGACTTGAGTCCCCTGAGTTTGAAAATAAAAGCTTCCATTCAAATTTCTGGAAGAGCAGTCCTCCTTTGAAACTCGAGAAGGTCAGAACTGGGCTAGAAAATTAGTCACACTTCAACTTCCTGAGGCCACTTCAAAAGTTTTCTTTTTTTTCTTTTAAACCATTTGGTTCCTTAAATAGATTTGTTTTCCTCATCAAGTTTTTCTTTCTGAAACATTGATGGTAAAGTTGGGGCTTTGACAGATCTAAGTCTCTTTCCTTGCACATCTTTAAAGGTGGGGCCAAGGAGGAAGGTCACTTGGAGAGTAACTTTGAAATGTACCCATGGTTATGGGCTCTTTGACTTTTCCTAAAGATTGTTTGAAATAAAACTGTGAAATCAGCACACTAAATCCAGTGAACCACCAAATGCCCCCCAAATGTACCTCTTTCCTACCTTTCCTAGATAATTGCCCCTTTTCCTTTTAAGCTTGAATGTATATTACTGCTTGACATGAACTTAATTCCAAATGGTGTTTTATTTGTAGGGTTTTATGAGCTGAGTGATGGAGCTTCAGGATCCCTGTCCAATTCCTCTAACTCGGTCTTCAGTGAGTGTTTATCCACTTGTCATTCTAGCACCTGCTTCTGCAGCCCCTTGGAGGCAACCCTGACTATCTCAGATGGTTGCCCCAAATCTGCTGGTAAGTCTTTTTAGAATTGATGGACATTTTTAATTGGAAGGGTCAAAGGCCCTTAAAGGTTATCTAGCTTCAACCCCTTTTACTGATGGAAAAACAAAGGCTCAGAGAATTTCATCCACTTGCTGCATTTAGTGCCACAGTTGCATTTAGAGCCAAGATGATCACTATTCCAGTCCTCTTTGGATGCCACTTGGCTTTATATTCTGATGGTAGCAAGACAGCTTATCTTGGGAAATCCTGTGCCAATATCACAGGTCTTGAGATTTGCTTCTGAGCCTTTGCTGTTAGTTTAACTTGTTTGCATTTTCTTTGGAAACCACTTTGGATCTGTTTTTTTTTCCTCCCTTTGATCATTTAAAGCTAAAGCTTACATTAAAGTTAAATATATTTGTCAGCCTGGCCGAGAGCTGTTTGGCACTTCAGGGAGCAATGGCGCTTCTGTTTCTCTGGAAGGCCTTGCATGATAGCAGCTCTCTTTTCTTTTAGCAGGTGTGTGGGATGAGCTCCCCTGAGGCCATGTGCCATTGTTCCCCATTTTGGGCCATCCTTGCAACCTCCAGAGGGAATCATGCTATTGTTGGTACCGGAAGAGTTTCTGCATTTCCACTACGTGGCACACATTGTACTGTATGCTTTGTGTACATTTATCTCCTTTGACTCCTCCTAACACTTCTGCAGGGTGCAGGTGTGGTTAGCTCCATTTTAAGTATCACAAAAATGAGGCCTAGTGACATTTGAGAAGGTTGTTTAAGGCTGTGTAGCTAGTGAGTGGCAGACGCAGGATTCAGGCTCAGGCCTAACTGCCAGGTCCCTGTTTTTCCATCACACTAAGGGGATTCAGAAATTGTGGTGTTCAACCTTCTCATCGAATGGAAGAGGAATTTGGTCGCATTTGCCATTTGTCAGAGGCTCCTCTTCTGCTGAATGGCAGAGTTGTTGCTGAAACTCAGGACTCCTTCCTTAGTTCTGCTTTATTGTGACTCCTCAGAAGAGTGGAGAAAATACAGAGGTTAGAGGAGCTGTAGGCGCTGGCATAAGTCGCGCACCCTTGGTTTGTCTGTGTTCTCTGCTTGGGTCTGAGGCTGAGTTTCTGAGATCTAGGCAATGCAAGTATAACACCAAGCACCTGAGACTGCTGACTGCCTGGTGTCTTTGTGTTGGTACAGTGTGTCTTGTCAGCAACTGTCGTTTGGGGAAGTGCAGATCTGTGTTATCTACAGTGTCTGGGCCTCAAGTTCATTGGTAATTACTCCCCTCACTCTGCAGATCTGGTTTCAGGGGGAGACTTTATAAACCCATTAAAGCCTTTTTGGTATAGGTTTTCCTTGAAGACAGACCTCTGCTCTCCCAAATGCCACATCTTCACATAAGTGACACAGTTGGGCTAGGCCTTGCGGGCTGAGATATCTGTTTTATTCCTTTAAGTATGGAAAAGGGATGAATGGTGGAGTGCAGGTAATGTGGCTTTAAGCAAGGCAAAGATAGGGCTAGGGTAGTGGAGGAGGGGTGGGCAAGGATGTTAGTAGGGAGGTTTCCCTTTCTACAACAAGCTGTTTATCGGGATGGGGCGGGGGGTGGGGTGGGGGGCGCGGAGTGGGGACACGTCGATTTTATAATAGTCTTTTCTTTACAAATGAATCAGATCATTTTTGGGTCTAGACTGTATTTTCCCTGAGACTGCTAATTATCATTGAAGTTCATGGAGCTTTCCCTTAAATGAAACAATTAACATAAAATCTGGCACATAGTAGGTCTTCAGTATTTCAGTGGAGGACAAATTAGTGACAAAAACTTTGATTTTTCGCTAACTAAAGGTCATTAAAGAGATGACATTTATAATATTCACCAAGATAAGAGATTAAAATCATTTAATTAAGCAAGAAAACTTGATTTTGTTGTATTTTGGCATCTACATTTTGAAGTTTGGGAAATTTACTCAATAATAGTACTGCTCAGTCTTTTAAAACCTTATCAAGAATTCCTTCTGATTTAGAAAAAAATACTATTTTATTCTTTAGTGTCCCTATTGAGAATGTAAGGTGATTATTATTTAAATTTGACTAATCTCTAATGAAATTTGATCAATTTCCCTGGCCTTTCAATTGACAGTTATACTTGAACATATATCATTAAAAATTAGGTCTCAAAAAATACAAAATGAGGAGAAAGCCCACAGAAAGTATAATTTATCTGTATTTTAAAGGGAAACCAGGAATAAAACACAGAAGGGAGAGTAACCTAGAGAAAGAATGACTCAAAAAACATTTATTTTCCCAGTTATAAATGCAGTACATATTTATTGAAAATTTAGAAAACAGAAAATAAGAAAGTAAACATTTCTTGCTTTCCTACTGCACTGGGATGCTACTATTAGCGTCTTGGTAGGCTTCATTTCAGACTTTTCTTTGCATATACACAGTTTAATAAAATTATAATCATGCTCTGGTATTATGATTTTCACTAAACTTCAAAGTGTTTTCCCCATATTATTCAATAGTTGAAGGCTTTTTTAAAGGCTGAATATCTTTTCCTTCAGAGGCTACGTTAGAGCTTGTTAAAAATTTCTTTGTTGAATAGTTTTCCCCTTATCCAGTAGTAGGAACTGTATGGAAAACAGTGGACGAGCTAGTGGGGTATTTTTTAGTTCTTTGACATTCTCTCTCCCCCCGTGAATTTGTCCTCATAAAAACTGGCCACAGTCAAGCTGCTGCTGACCAATTCCTTTCTTCAGAGTGTACCTTTAACTGTTTTTCAGATCTCATAGGATGGTTGGAAGGTAAAGAAGCCCACTGTGAAGACCCGGCCTCGGCGGCAGTTTGCCCTTCCCCCTACACACCACAATTTAATTCCCTTGATGTCATTGCAGATGTGAATCCCAAGTACCAGTGTGATCTGGTGTCTAAAAACGGGAATGATGTGTACCGCTATCCCAGTCCACTCCATGCCGTGGCCGTGCAGAGCCCAATGTTTCTCCTTTGCTTGACCGGCAACCCTCTGCGGGAAGAGGAGAGGCTTGGTAACCATGCCAGTGACGTTTGTGTCGGACCTCAGGTGGACGCCATCAAGACAGGCACTTCCTTACCATCGCCAAGCAGCTTGTGGGCTGCTCCCCACCCCTCATCCAGTAAGAAAATGGACGGCTACATTCTGAGCCTGGTCCAGAAAAAAACACACCCTGTAAGGACCAACAAACCGAGAACCAGTGTGAACGCTGACCCCAGCAAGGGGCTTCTGAGGAACGGGAGCTTCTGCGTCAGAGTGCCTGGGGGCGTCTCGCAGGGCCATAGCGGGAACCTTAAGAATTCTAAACAGGCGCCTGTGCCCCCTGGTGGAATCCTGGCTTTGGACGGTGGGCCGTTCTCCCCGCTGAAGCAGTGGGCGAAGGAAGCAAAGGCAGACCAACTGGAAAGCAAGAGGCTGCCCGCGCCCGAGGGCGGCTTGCCAGGCGCCGCCGCTGACCTTCAGAGCAAGCATCTGCCCAAAAGTGCCAAGCCAGCCTCCCAGGAGCACACTCGCTGTCCCACCGCGGTGACAGGGGAGCCCCCTAAAGACAGCAGTCAGATCCCAGCTGCCCCTCCAAAGGAGAGCCCTGGGCGGGCCCCCGCCCCTCTGCAGGAGAACAGAGTGGTGCAGTCCCTCAAGAAGGCCTCGCAGAAAACCGGCCCGCCGGCGCCCCCCGCCCCCGTGGCCCCCGGGGCGCTGCCGTCCTCGGCCTTCCCGGGGCCCGAGCGGCCGGCCCTGGAGTTCAAGAGCGAGGGCTCGTCTTCGCAGAGCCTCGAGGAGGGGCCGCCGGGGAAGGCGCCGTGCGTCCCGGGGCCGCAGCCGGGCGGGAGGCCATCCCGGGCCAGCCGCGCCGCCGTCCCGCGGGGCTCGGCCCCGAAGCCCAGGCCGCAGGCCCTGCACGGGCCCGAGGGCGCGCTGCCCGGGCCGAGGGAGCGGAGCCACGCGGCCGGCAGGAAGGGGCGGCTCCCCGACGACGCGGAGCCGGGCAAGAGGCTGCGGAGGGCGCCGGCCAAGGGCCGCAGGGGCGGCGGCGGCCAGGCCGAGGCGGCGCTCCCCAGCCGGCCGCTGGGCGCCGGCCCCCGCGGGCCCGGGAGCAGGGCGCACGGGCACGGCCGCGAGGCGCTGGCCAGGCCCCGGCACAAGCGGCCCGAGTCGCGGCGCTGGCGCTCGGCGGCCGAGGTGTCCTACGAGGAGGCCCTGCGCAGGGCGCGGCGCGGCCGCCGCGGGCACGCGGGTCCCTACGCGGCGCCGCCGCCCTTCGCCAGCGCCTACGCGTGCGCGGCCAGCGACTCCGAGTACTCGGCCGAGTGCGAGTCCCTGTTCCACTCCACCGTGCTGGACACCAGCGAGGACGAGCGCAGCAACTACACCACCAACTGCTTCGGCGACAGCGAGTCCAGCGTGAGCGAGGGCGACTTCGTGGGCGAGAGCACCAGCACCAGCGACTCGGAAGAAAGCGGGGGCTTCATGTGGTCCCAGTTTGTGCAGACCCTCCCTCTGCAGGCCGTCCGCGCCCCGGACCTGCACGGCAACCCCGCCAAAGCCTTCGTCAAAATCAAGGCCTCGCATACCCTCAAGAGGAAGATCCTCCGATTTCGGTCTGGCTCCTTGAAACTGATGACGACCGTTTGAATCACGTCGTTGGTGTGAAAGTGGGTATTTTCTAGTTACCGAAGAAAAGGTGGCGTCCTAGTTTTTGTGTCGTAATTGCACAGAATGCTTTCCTTTTGTTAAGATAAAACCAAGATAAATTATGTCTCATTTCATCATGTGTGGACACTAGTGCCTTTAATGGAAGGTAAAGAATGTTTTACTGGTTAGAAGTAAATATTGAGTTTTTAATGGTGGTAATAGTGAATGAATTTTGTGGTATCAGATGATTTTTAAATGTTCTGAGCATCTGTGAAGGCGCAGGTTTTGATGTTCAAGTCTGGTTGGGGTGAGACCTTTGGATCTGGAGGTCAGGTGGATAGAATTGCAGGACATGCATTTGCTTCTAGGTTCTTTAGGGCAGTGTCTCCGTGAGGGTTATCCAGTTGAGGGGCATCACGTACAATTGTGCAAAGTAGGTACGAGGGACAGTCATTGTTTGCTGTAAATTTTTTATACAGTCTGCATCTCTCAAATGTATCCCCATTCTATTTTCTTCTCAGAACTGTTTGGTTTACTGGACTCAGAACTTGAAGACCAGACCCTGAATCCAGAGAGCTGGCGACCTGGATAGGGAGCTGGTGCTATCTTAAAGGATTCGCTAAACTTTTGCCACACTTGGTGCCTAGGCCCTGGTTGCAGTAACCCCTTCTGGGGCCATTTATCCAGCATTTTGATGCCTTTCTCCTTCTCCCTAATTTGCAGCAGATCCAACTATTTCTCCCTTGGAGGACTTGCCTTTGTGATAAAATTTTGGTCCGTAGGTACAGAGAAGTTCACTCCTAATAAAGCTTGGGCGTGACTACAAGCCCAGAATTGCTCACTGAGCACTGTGCCACCTTAGCAGTGACCCAAACACACGAGTGCAATCCAGTCCAGATTGGACCACTGATGCTGTCTGGAAGGGCTTTTTTTAAAAAAAAAAACAAACTTTTTTGGTAACAGTATTGTGTAAAATTGCTTTTTTTATACCAATATATGCATGTTTTGTGCATGAGTAGTATTTGTTTTGATACTCCTGTTGGTGTTAAATTGCTGTATGATATAACAGTATGTGTTTTTATATATCATTGTGTAAATTTAATATAACACATTATATACTGTAATAAACGATTTGTTTTACTGCTGTTAAGTTTGTTATTTGGGTATAAAACCAGATGTTTACACCTATAAATCTTGTGCTGATTATTGTGGGTTTTATATTAGGCCTATTCTACCTTTAGAATATTACTTGCAATAATTAAGGCAGGTTTTAGGAGTATTCTTTGAATGGATGGTGAGTAAGCAAATGAGGAAATGCAAACCGCTTCTTTAGAATACTTAAGGTACTATGTGAACATTTAAGGTAAATTTTTTTTTTTTGCTGGGAAAGATTTGCTCTGTGGTAGTATCTGTTGCCAATCTTCCTCTTTTTTTTTTTTCCTCCGCAAAGCCCCAGTACATAGTTGTGTGTTCTGGTTGTAGGTCCTTCTAGTTCTGCTATGTGGGACACCACCACAGCATGGCTACTGAGAGATAGGTGGTGTGGTTCTGTGCCTGGGAACTGAACCTGGGCCACTGAAGTGGAGCGCACAGAACTTTTAACCAGTAGGCCATCAGGGCTGGCTCAAATTTAAGGTAAATTTGATAGAAGTCTTCTAAGGAAAATATTTCTGAGAAGAACACTGCTCCCCCAACTTTTTAGTATAAAAAACTTCCAACCTGGAAAAGTTGAAAGGCTAGTACAGTAAACATCTGTGTAGCCGCCTAGATTCCACAATTGCTGACATTTTGCCGTGCTTATTTTAACTTTCTGTGTATTTATTAGATTAAACCATATTGCTGGTTTTGTAGGTCAAAGACAGATTTTGGCAATCCTGCCTTTCCCAGCCACACTGCTGTACTATTTTGAAGTAAATTTCATATTTCACTTCTAAAAACTTAAGCATGTACTTCCTAAGAACAAGGAGATTTTCCCATATAACCACAATGTCGTAATGACATCTAAGGAAAGTTGTCAGTAGTTCTTAGTATCATCAAATATTTAATCTCTATTCAAATTTTCCAATTTCTTTCAAGAATTTTTTTTTTTTTAAAGATTGGCACCTGAGCTAAGAAGTGTTGCTAATCTTTTTTTTTCTTTCTGCTTTATCTCCTCAAACTCCCCCTGTACATAGTTGTATATCTTAGTTGCAGGTCCTTCTAGTTGTGGGATGTGGGGCACTGCCTCACCATGGCCTGACTAGCGGTGCTGTGTCCGAGCCTAGGATCCGAACCCTGGGCCGCCAAGGCGGAGCGTGCAAACTTAACCACTTGGCCACGGAGCTGGCCCCCGAGAATTTTTTAATAGCTCCTTCCACCCTCCCCTCACCCAGGATTCAGTCCGTGTTATGCATTGCATTTGGTTGTAGATCTCTAGTGTTTTTAGTCTAGACTCGTCTCCCCACATTTTTCTTAATGACATTGGGTTTTTAAAGTCAGGACAGTTGTGTTGTAGAAGGGCCCACGTTCTGGATTTGGTTGTTTCCTTATGTTGTCTTTGAACAGCTTCTGGTCCCTTTATTTCCTGTAAACTGTGTAAGGCCTGATTGGATTCAGGTTGAGTGTTCTTGACAAGATTTCCCTAGTGATCTTGTGTCCTTTTATTGTTTCCCATCAGAAGCATAGCATCAGATTGCACTGCTGTTACTGAATTTGAGTGATCCCTTGGTTGAGTTGGTGAGCAGAGGTTTCTCCATTATAAAGGTTTTCTTTTTTCTCTTTGCAAATGGTTAGTATTTTGAGTGATTTTTCGGTGCTGTGTGTCTATCCTGTTCTCACAACCTTCCACTTACTGGCTTTAGCTTGCCGTGCTGGCCCTTGCCTCCATCGCTTATGCCTTGGGGATGCAAAATGGTAGTATTCTAAATATCTTTCCTTCTACTTTTATTAGCTGACGTTCTACAAACAAGAAGTTTCCTTCCTTCTTTTCCTTTTCTCTTTTTTATCACTATGGACTCATGGATTTTTATTTGTTTGATATCTTAAATCCCGTACAGTTATTGTTCTTTTAATGCTCAGCATGTCCCAAATTTGACCATTGGGAGGATACATTTTGTTAAAAGGAAACTGTAGAATCACCTCAGTCTCATAATTCATATATTCATTATGAAATGTACTCAAATTTTTGAAATGTACAACAAATTTTTCAAATGCTAAATTTCAACGCAACAAAAATCCTTCAACTATCCTTTTTTTGTTGTGTCTTGGAAATTTTCTCTTTTCCTATACTTTATATACCTCATCTCTAAGAAGACTTTTAACTTTGGAACATGGCAAATTATTTCTCCGTGGCTTATAAAGGTCAGACATCTTTTTTTTCAACAAGACACTTTTTTTTTTCAGCAAGACATCTCAGAGAACTCAATTCTTCAAAATGTAGAGTTGCTAGTCTTTTGGTATTCATAGGTTTTTATATGTGACCAGTCATTCTGCTCTGACTAGAACTTTGATTGCCTGATTAAATCTAAGCCAAGCACAAGCGAGCGGTGATCTCACCATCCTTTCTAATGCTGTGATCCGATCTCTTTGGGGACAGGCTATAAAGTTTATCATGTAAGGCAACTGTGACCTGCAGTTATTTCTTGAATCATTTCCAAGTTGTTCTCAATGAACATGATTCTCAGAAGGGGAAGCATTTTGAAAGCCAGCTTCTGAACAATTGCGTCTTAGGTGACAGAATGCCAAATGAAGAGAAGCGTGAAAAACAGGATTTTCACAGAACCTTGGGTTTGTCCTATTCTGTCTGTTGCTTGACTTCCCTGTAGCTAGCAGTTGTACTGCACTTGGAAAATTGGCTTTCGTTCTTTATTTTCAATGACAAAATAGCTGCTATTGTTGTTACAAACAAAAGAGCTCTTTAAAATATTTTCCTTTATTTGAATAAATTATAAATGCTCATTGTCATTAAAGAAAAAATAGATCTGAAAAATACACAGGTGTTTAAACTCTCAATTCTCCTCAAATCCTACTCTTCAATAAATTTAGTGTATATATTTCCATACTCTGTTATATACACATACAAATATGAAACCTTTACATTTTTCCTTCAGAATGAAGTCTCAATCTATATGTATTAACTTGTAACTTGATTCCTTCATTTCATGGACCTGTATAGTGGATATAATTCCCAATTCTTTTTAATGGGGTTCCAAGGATTTCCTCACTAAGGAAAAAGGCACCAGATCTTATGGGCTGCTCGTTTGCCCTGCTTAGAAAGATTCTATTTAGCAACAGAAGTGTTCCCTGAGTGCTAGACATTTACACACATATTGCCTTTCTAGTTTTCTATTTTGTATTTTTTTTATTTTGTATTATGAGCTTACTCTCAGTGGGGTGTTAATTGGGGGAATCCTGTGAGGCTTGATGAAGGATTTTGCCATACCAAGAAGCTTTGTGTTTTTTCTGCCAGGCACGTCAAGGATGTTTCCAGCCTGGACCACCTTTTAAGTTAATTTCTGTCCTTTGGGGTTACCTGACTACAGAGGTGGTATAAGTTCAAATCCTGAACCCACGTGAGGATAGGCTGTGGTTACGTGTTCTCAGAGGCAGAAGAGCTTCCTTATTTTCATCCTGGGCCAGGAAGTGTGTTTTTTCCTGGACCAACTTTCACTGAGGGTGTAGCCCTTCAGTGCTCTCAGGTATGGGGAAGTGTCGGTTCCAAATTCTGCCCTGTGAGGGCCAGCTCCTGAGTGCCTGTCAAACCAAACCACTTGTAAAGGGACCAGCAGCTTCTCCCCTGCTCTCCAAGGGGAGACCAAACTTGGGTGCCTTTCTTTCTAGTGAAATCAACACACACTTACGAGGATGTTTGTTATTAGCTTATCCATCATTTCTTTTTTTTTTTTTTAAGATTTTAGTTTTTTCCTTTTTCTCCCCAACCCCCCCGGTACATAGTTGTATATTCTTAGTTGTGGGTCCTTCTAGTTGTGGCATGTGGGACGCTGCCTCAGCGTGGCTTGATGAGTGGTGCCATGTCCACGCCCAGGATTCGAGCTGACGAAACACTGGGCTGCCTGCAGCGGAGCACGTGAACTTAACCAGTTGGCCACGGGGCCGTCCCCCTTATCCATCATTTCTAAATGTTTTTACAATGAGATGACTAGATTATCTAGTTCACCATGTGGCCGGAAACAAAAACGCAGAGAGCTACCTGTTGCCTTTGCCAATAAATTGGATTCTCCTTTCCCCCTCTTAATTTTGGTACAATTTTATTGAGACGCAATTGAAGTACAGTAAAATGCACGTTTGAACTGTATGATTTGATCAGTCTTGATATGTGTATACACCTCTGTAACCACCACAATCAATATAACAAATATTTCAATCATTCTCAAAAGTTTCCTTGTTTCCCTTTGTAATCCATCTCTCCCTCTACCACTTTCCACAGGCAGCCACTGATCTGCTTTCTGTCACTATAGATTACTCTGTTTTCTAGAATTCTATATAAATGAAATTAATGTGTACTCCTTTTTGACCAAATTTTCATTCCGCATAATGATTTTTAGATTCGTCCGTGTTGTTTCCTGTCTTCCTAGTTCCTTCTTTTTTATTGCCAAATTGTATTCCTTTGTATAGGTATATAACAATTTATACCATTTACTTGTTAACGGATTTTTGGGTTGATTCCAGCTTGGGGCTATTACAAATAAAGCTGTGAGGAACATTTGTGCACAGGTCTTTGTGTGGGTAAATGTCTTTGTTTCTCTTGGACAAATACTTAGGAGTGGAATGCCTTAGTTTTGTGGTAGGCATATATTTAACTTTTTTAGAAATTGCAAAAATATATTTCAAACTGGTTGTACCATTTTACATTCCTACCAGCAAAGTATGAGAGTTTCGGTTGCTCCATATCCTCTCTGTCATTTGGCAAGCTCAGGCTTTAAAATTTTAGCCAATCTAATATATATGTAATGGTATCTCATTGTGGCTTTCATTTGAATTTTCCTGAGGACTAATGATGTTGAGCACCTTTTCTGTGCTTATTGGACAGGTGTATATGTTCTTTGAGGAAGTATCTATTCAAATAGTTTGTCCATTTAAAAAATCGAGTTTTTGGGCTTATTATTGAGTTGTAAGAGTTTTTTTTATAAGTTCCATATAAAAGTCCTTTTTATATGTTGTGAATATTTTCTCCCAGTCTGTGGCTTGCCTTTT